ATGTAAGAGCATTTGAGTTTGATGAATAAGAAGTAGAATTTAGGAGCGACAACTACTATTCTTGTAAAAAGGAGACGTGTCGTTTTTTAATTAAATTAGAAAACGTCAACATGTATAAGAGAAAGATGTGGCATCAGATTTTTCACCAAGAAAAAAGTAGTGTTGAACAATGAGCGATGTATAGCCTCTTCCTTCTTATGCCAATAATAGAATCATGTGATCATAAAGCAAGAACATGAAACGGGTTCCAACTTACTAAGATCAGTTTGTTAAAATTAACATGAAAAACCAATCATAATATGATATATAATATATGTCTCATTCAAAAATTAGAAGAGAACGTGGTAAAGAGGTATCTATTCTCATTTCTTGTTTCTTCAGTGAAGTTGGTAGCCATGATCGGATATATTTAGTTTTCAAAAAATGTTCAAAAGACTTGTTACAATATTAATTTTACATCATTTGTGTTTTTACATAGGATTTGTTCCTATATAGTTTATCAAAATTCATTATATTTTCTTTCCTTGGAGATTGATACATTTGTGAATTTGCTCCCCGATTTTACTTCCCTGGCTTTTACTTTTTAACGAATAGTCTTTTGCAATGTTGATTATTCAATTTCTTTATTCCTCATATTGATGATCCATGAATTTGTAATTTAGTTCAGGAGCTATCATGCAAGATGCAGTTAGCAGAGATTATAAACAGCGAAGAACAAAAGATAACAGTGAGGAAAGTTATGAAGGAGATCTCATCAACCAATTACCAGATGGAATCCCTGTAACCATTTTATCTAAATTGCCAATAACAGATGCTGCTAGGACCAGCATTCTCTCAAGAAAATGGAGATATCTATGGACATATTTTTCTGGACCCTTGGAATTTGATGGTTCACCTATCATGAAAGACATGAAAAAAGACATTAAGAAGGCTGAAGAAAAAAGGCATTTGCAGATGGCAATGGAGATCATGTATGATGCTGAAAGCCAAACATATACCAGATGGATCAATAAATTGTTGGGTTCACTTAATGGTTCAGTTCTACAAGGATTAAAATTTTGGTTTCATGTGGGTCCTGAGTGTGATACTGATAAGTGGGTCCACTTTGCCATTCAAAAGAAGGTTCAAAAGCTTGAGCTGTATTTTGGGAATACATTTGAATATGTTCTTCCGTTGCACTTGTTTAAACTGGAAAGTTTTAATTCCTTGCATGTTTTGCGTCTGAAATGCATTACTGTGACCGAGGAGATGCTAGATTATCTACTGCGCTGTTGTCCATCACTTGAAACGTTGAACTTGGTTGACTCATTAGTTCCAGAAACTATGAGGGTTTCGGGTCCATCACTCAAGCTGAAAAGTCTAGAATTGATGAGATGTTGGGAGCTGCTAAGACTTGAATTTTTTGCTGAGAATTTGGTGTCATTCAAATACTACGGACCCCATTTGGATACAGAATTTAAGAGTGTTCCTAGTCTTCTGGAAGCAACATTTGGAGGCTCCTATGTGGAGTTCACTAGAGAAAGCTTTTTACCACATTTGGAAGTACTTACATTGGATATTACACAAAACATACCTGAAGTGGTAGCCTTTATTATCTAATCATTCCTTTCTTCAGGTTGCATTCCTTGTTCACAGAGTTGTATCATTTTGCTGTCTTATTTTCAGATTTGCTCGCTAGGTCAACTTCCCAAGTTAAAAAATATCAAGCATTTGGAGTTGGTTGCCTGTGGTGATGATGGAATCACACTTGGTGCTTGTGCTTTNATGAAAGACATGAAAAAAGACATTAAGAAGGCTGAAGAAAAAAGGCATTTGCAGATGGCAATGGAGATCATGTATGATGCTGAAAGCCAAACATATACCAGATGGATCAATAAATTGTTGGGTTCACTTAATGGTTCAGTTCTACAAGGATTAAAATTTTGGTTTCATGTGGGTCCTGAGTGTGATACTGATAAGTGGGTCCACTTTGCCATTCAAAAGAAGGTTCAAAAGCTTGAGCTGTATTTTGGGAATACATTTGAATATGTTCTTCCGTTGCACTTGTTTAAACTGGAAAGTTTTAATTCCTTGCATGTTTTGCGTCTGAAATGCATTACTGTGACCGAGGAGATGCTAGATTATCTACTGCGCTGTTGTCCATCACTTGAAACGTTGAACTTGGTTGACTCATTAGTTCCAGAAACTATGAGGGTTTCGGGTCCATCACTCAAGCTGAAAAGTCTAGAATTGATGAGATGTTGGGAGCTGCTAAGACTTGAATTTTTTGCTGAGAATTTGGTGTCATTCAAATACTACGGACCCCATTTGGATACAGAATTTAAGAGTGTTCCTAGTCTTCTGGAAGCAACATTTGGAGGCTCCTATGTGGAGTTCACTAGAGAAAGCTTTTTACCACATTTGGAAGTACTTACATTGGATATTACACAAAACATACCTGAAGTGGTAGCCTTTATTATCTAATCATTCCTTTCTTCAGGTTGCATTCCTTGTTCACAGAGTTGTATCATTTTGCTGTCTTATTTTCAGATTTGCTCGCTAGGTCAACTTCCCAAGTTAAAAAATATCAAGCATTTGGAGTTGGTTGCCTGTGGTGATGATGGAATCACACTTGGTGCTTGTGCTTTGTTATTAAGGGCATCGCCTTCACTGTGGAAGTTCACATTAAAGGTGAATATCCTTTGACTCTGTGTTGTGCATCAAGCAAGTGCTAAAAAGCTAGAATCCTTATATATTTTAATCTGACTTTTTTTCATGCTCCAGATGCTACATACCAAACCCCCTTTAAGAATACAACAAAAAATTACAATGAAATGTCAACACGATCTCAAGGAGTTGGAATTGGTTGGGTTTTGTGGAGCATCATGTGAGGTTGAATTAGCTATCTACTTACTTAAGAATGCAGTTGAACTCCAGAAGATAACCATTGACACAAGATTACCAACTAGACCGAAACTTAGACAGCCGGGGGAGCACTTCAAAGCTTGGGATCGTGAGGAAAACAGAAACCGTGCTAAGGCACTGCAAGAAAAAGTGCCACCTTGGATTGAATTTGTTTGTATTTGAAGAGGTATTACAAGCTAAAACATCATCAGTATTGGTATTGAAAAAAAATATACTTGTAAAGGTGGCTAACCATCATATACAGATACGTAGATTATCATCATTTAAAACACTAAAAAGTGATCTGAAAATTTTATGTCAAAATAAAAGAACTATTCAAGTGTTAATTGACTTCCTATAATTTGCTGTGCTAAATTGCAAAAGAGATCCATCCAATCTTAAGTTTGTAGGATTGGACTAAACAAATAGAAGTATTTTTTTTCCTTATATAATAATATTTATTTATTTATTTTGGAATCTTCTGTACTATTACTCTTACTGTAGTTTTGGAAAACAAATATCTGACTTCGAATTTATTATGGTTTGGATCTTACTAGCAATCCATAGTGTTCTAGCTTCGATAATGAAAAACATACTGGACAATGAAATCAAGAACATGTTGAAATTAAATTAACACTTAGATGCCCTGCTCAAGCATTGCTCGAACCCTCATTGGAAGACCATAAAGCCGGATGAAGCCAGCAGCATCAGCTTGATCATATATCTGGCCACTTTCAAACGATGAGATGTCTTGCCTATAGAGGCTAAAGGGACTTGTACGACTGGTTGC